TCTGAGAGAGTAGCACCTCCTCAGTTCTATCCCCAAGCCTGGTTTTGAAATCTTTTTTTTAAAGCACTCTCCCCTCGGTGCCCAGGCTGACGTCCTTTCCCAGCCTGGCCGAGACGTTTTTCTTCTCTCAGAATTTTAAGTACTTCATATCAACCAAAAATAAAGCAAAAAATATAAATAAAATTAAGAAGACAAATCCGTTGTGACACCTTAAACCTCCTCAGTTCTATCCCCAAGCCTGGTTTTGAAATCTTTTTTTTAAAGCACTCTCCCCTCGGTGCCCAGGCTGACGTCCTTTCCCAGCCTGGCCGAGACGTTTTTCTTCTCTCAGAATTTTAAGTACTTCATATCAACCAAAAATAAAGCAAAAAATATAAATAAAATTAAGAAGACAAATCCGTTGTGACACCTTAAAGACAAACTGCTATAATTTAATGTGCGCTTTCATGGACAAAGGGTCTTATGTCTGACAAAGTGGAATTTTTGTCCATGAAAGCTCCCATCAAATTATAGCAGTAAGTCTTTAAGGTGCCCCAGTATCTTCTCTTCTTCTTCTTCTGGCTTTGTTTTTGTTTTTTGTTTCTTGCTTGATAGGCAAGCAGAGACTAACACAGTCAACGCTTATTAAGGACCTCAGTGTGTTTAAACAGAAAATATATGTTGATTTAGTTCTGTGACCCTGCTATATATCTGCCGGTTTTTACAATAGATGGGATTAGAATTTTAATTTTTACGTTGGTGTATTTGTTGTTTTAAATTTAACTTTTCAACGCCTAGAGAAATAGAAGATAAGTGATGCTATAAAAGTCAATAAATAAATAAATAAATGCCTGACCGCCAGTAGGATCAGCCACCTGATTCGTGAAGTCAATCTATAATCCCAGTTGTTGGTTTGACCAAATAAGAAGGGATCAAACTGATGCAAATCTGGGTGTGAAGGGTTGCATGATGAAAAGCAGTGTTTTGCGGGAGGAAATCCCGCTCTCTTTGTCTCTTCTTTGTGATGAAAGCGAGAAGCACCTCCGTATTTCTGGCAGCCCCAGCTCGGCGCTTTGACTCCCAGGAGCCTCCCTCTTGAAGGAGGCCGGTGGCGGTGGCGGCGATGGTGGCGATGGTGGCTGGGGGGGCCCGGCGGCGGCTCTTGTCCTTCGATGGGGCCCCCTTTGCCACCTGGAGCTTTTGCAAACACTTGGATGAAAAGCCACGATTTGGCGGTGGGGCGGGATCCCCTGCCCAGTTTTAATTAGGAGCCCTGTTTTAGATGATCAAAGAGTTTTAAGGGGCTACCGAAAGAATGTGTGTGAAGAAGCGCTTTGAACGTCGCCTAAGTACTTTCTCTGCTCTAATTGTGATGATTATTCCCTCTGTTGCTTAAGTGGGGGTGCTTTTGTGCAGACTAAATATGAGGGGAGACCTGGCAGAGCCATCCCCCCCGCCACCCCCCCTGAGAAGAAAAT